AAAAACAGAATAATAAGCAGCTCCGGGCCGTGATGCCCGTGGCGCCGCAATCTCGGCGGGCGAGTCCGCCGCTTCCCGCTCCCGCCCGGCGGGGCTGCCCCCGGTCTTCCCCCGGGCAGGCGGGCACCCACCGGCCGCGCCGTGGGCACCGGGAGGGGGGGGCACAAAGGGGGCCGCCCCCCAATCGCCCCCTTTGCCCGTGGAGTTCGGTCCCCCGGGGGTTTGGGAGGGGGAAGGCGGGGTCGGTGGGGCTCGGCACAACGGCCCCGCCACGGTGCGGGGACACGGGGGGACCCCGTGGGACATGGTGGGACCCTGTAGGATGTGGTGGGACCCTGCGGGACGTGGTGGGACCCCACGGGACACGGGGGGACCCCGTGGGACATGGTGGGACCCTGTAGGATGTGGTGGGACCCTGCGGGACGTGGTGGGACCCCACGGGACACGGGGGGACCCCGTGGGACATGGTGGGACCCTGTAGGATGTGGTGGGACCCTGCGGGACGTGGTGGGACCCCACGGGACACGGGGGGACCCCGTGGGACATGGTGGGACCCTGTAGGATGTGGTGGGACCCTGCGGGACGTGGTGGGACCCCACGGGACACGGGGGGACCCCGTGGGACATGGTGGGACCCTGTAGGATGTGGTGGGACCCTGCGGGACGTGGTGGGACCCCACGGGACACGGGGGGACCCCGTGGGACATGGTGGGACCCTGTAGGATGTGGTGGGACCCTGCGGGACGTGGTGGGACCCCACGGGACACGGGGGGACCCCGTGGGACATGGTGGGATCCCATGGGATATGATGGGACCCCATAGGACATGGTGGGATCCTGTAGGACACGGTGGGACCCTGTGGGACATGGTGGGATCCCATGGGATATGGTGGGACCCTGTAGGACATGGTGGGATCCCATGGGATATGGTGGGACCCTGTAGGACAAGGTGGGACCCTGTGGGACATAGTGGGACCCCGTGGGACATGGTGGGATCCCATGGGACATGGTGGGATCCCATGGGACCCCATGGGACACGATGGGACACGGTGAGACTCGTGGGACATGGTGGGACCCCATGGGATATGATGGGACCCTGTAGGACATGGTGGGACACGGTGGGACACGGTGGGACCCCGTGGGACCCCATAGGACATGGTGGGACCCCGTGGGATATGGTGGGACCCCACGGGACACGGTGGGACCCTGTAGGACATGGTGGGACCTCATGGGACCCTGTAGGACACGGTGGGACCCCATGGGACATGGTGGGACATGGTGGGACCCCGTGGGACACAGTGGGATCCCATGCGATAGATAGGACCCTGTGGGACATGGTGGGACACGGTGGGATCCCATGGGATAGATAGGACCCAGTGGGACATGGTGGGACCCCGTAGGACACGGTGAGACCCTGCAGGACACAGTGGGACCCCGTGGGACACGGTAGGATCCCATGGGACACGATGGGACACGGTGGGACCCCGTAGGACATGGTGGGATCCCATGGGATATGATGGGACCCTGTGGGACATAATGGGACCCTGTAGGACACGGTGGGACCCCGTGGGACATGGTGGGATCCCTTAGGACATGGTGGGACCCTGTAGGACACGGTGGGACATGGTGGGACCCCTTAGGACACGGTGGGACCCCGTAGGACACGGTGGGACCCTGTAGGACATGGTGGGACCCTGTGGGATGCCATGGGACCCCGTGGGACCCTGTAGGACATGGTGGGACCCCATGGGACATGGTGGGACCCCGTAGGACATGGTGGGACCCTGTAGGACACAGTGGGACCCTGCGGGACATGGTGGGACCCCGTGGGACATGGTGGGACCCTGTAGGACACAGTGGGACCCTGCGGGACATGGTGGGACCCCGTGGGACACCGAGGGACAGCACGGGAGGCGGCGGGACACCGGGCGAGGAACACCGTGGGGATTTGGGGACACCACGTACGGTGGGATCCCATGAGATATGGTGGGACCCTGTGGGACCTCGTAGGACATGGTGGGACCCTACGGGACATGGTGGGATCCCATGGGATAGATGGGACCCTGTAGGACATGGTGGGACCCCGTGGGACATGGTGGGACCCTGTAGGACACAGTGGGACCCTGCGGGACATGGTGGGACCCCGTGGGACATGGTGGGACCCTGTAGGACACAGTGGGACCCTGCGGGACATGGTGGGACCCCGTGGGACACCGAGGGACAGCACGGGAGGCGGCGGGACACCGGGCGAGGAACACCGTGGGGATTTGGGGAC